TGCATTTGTTTATGATGCTTGAGGTTGCTGGATATGGATTCACTTGCCTCAGGTTTTATTTGGCTCTTTAGATGTTTTCTTTGGAATTATTGCGTGACTTACTTAGAATGGTAAGATTGTGAGGTTTCCTATTCCATACGTTCTTGAATGAGATTCTTGTAAATGTATTCTTTCAGTGGAATTTTGTATCTATGAAGAGTAGGCATTGGAATTTGGTACTTAGAACGCTTGCTTCAATTGCATGTGCTAAACAAGGCTAGAATCTCCTGTGCTATTTTTTTACCTAGAATGTTTGAACTAGAGAGACATAATACCATGTAAGGTTGATATATGATTCAAAGTAGAGTTGATACTTTTATTGCATGATTCATGAATCAATGACCTTATCTTACCTCTCTTCAATTTAGTATGATGTAGTTTATGATGGAACACCTTTCGAACCTTTATGGAATTGGTCCTTGTTGTTTTAGTAGAATATCAGTTTTGAACAGTTCTGGAATCTTGAAGTATACCATGAAAATATTTTATCTTTTTGGTGTTCCAGTGATAACTTAAAACATTTCATCTGTTTTGGGACCTCTGTTTCTTCTTTATCTGATCAGCTGCTGTGTCCTGGAGTTCGGTGCACTTATTGGTCTTTGTTTTCCTGGAATCTTGCACATCTAGTTCTGAAATAAGTTATTTCTTTTAGCAATGAATTTATTTTTAGAGTTCATAATTGATGCATCTATGGTCGATACATGCACTGTCAATGTGCCAAATTATGTCATCTCATTAGAGGTTTTCAAAAATGAATATAGATAACCAATGTTGTCAAGGGCGCTCGCCTTTTTCTACTTCACCATTCCTTGGGCTTCAAAGCAAGGTGAGAAAAAAGCTCACCTCATTGAAGCTGGCCCCTCTGTTGTGCATGAAAAAAGAGAAGGGAAGAGAATTGCTCAAAAGCCCAGAAAATAAAGTTGAAAACTTGAGAAAAATGAAGATATTTTTAGTTTCCTCGGACCTAAGAGTGTAATATTTTGAGGCAAAAAGAAAAGGAAAGAAAATGGAACAGAGTTGGGAGAAAATGAATAGACTCAAGAGAGGGATACAGGAAAACTGGGAAAACCAGAAAAAGACTACTCAAAAAGAAGATCCCACGTGGGCTTCACCTATTTGACTTGTCTTTTGTTCTTGAATTATCTAACAGTCTAAAGTTTAAACTATGCCGGTTTACCTTACATTTATACTATGCCATTTTACTCAGGCATGCTTTATTTTCGTGCCTTGCCCCTCAGGTTATATTGAGGTGTCTTAGTGCCTTGAGTGTGCCTAGCACCCTCGAATACAGTTGTGAAAACTTTATTTCTAATGAGGTGTCATTATCGTATTCCTTAACAGCGTACTGCATTAAATAGAAATCCTTTGTTCAACCAAATTGAACTAATGTATAGGGTTTTCGCCTTCAGTTTTGATGTGGGTATCTAATGTCCTTTTACTATAATAAACTCTTTCCTAGAACTGTCGCTTAAAGTTTTGATCTTCGGTTGTACTCTTGTTGCTTTCAAGTGCCTTCAATCACACCTTAACTATTCATCCATGCACAAGAAAGAATTTTTAATTCTCTGTTGCGTGCCATAAGAATGCTAAATTTGGTCTCTTTCTCACCTCCTTGTTTCTCCTATTCCTAACAATGGCGATTTTCTTTTCAGAATCCATATTCCGTGAACATCCTTCTTGCTGGCTATGACAAAGAGACAGGCCCGTCTCTGTACTATATCGACTACATCGCTACACTTCATAAGGTGGATAAGGGAGCATTTGGCTATGGATCCTACTTCTCTCTGTCCATGATGGACAGGCACTACCACAGTGGCATGACAGTGGAAGAAGCCATCGATTTAGTTGATAAATGCATAACGGAGATCAGATCAAGACTGGTTGTGGCTCCACCAAACTTTGTCATCAAGATCGTCGACAAAGACGGGGCCAGAGAGTACGCCTGGCGTGAATCTGTCAAGGATGCTGCAGCTGCTTCAGCCTGAAGATACTTGTGGTGGACTTGCCCTTCGGTTCTGGATGTTTAATTTGCATTTACCGATAGGAAACAACGTGTCTCGGCGCAGCCAAAACTAGTATTAAAAGCAATGTTTAACTGGCTTGATTATGCGAAAAAGATTTGGAAATTTGATGATGCTTCTTATTTTTAATCTTGGAATGGAAACATTTGTGTGCGTCCAGGTACAGAGAAGATCATTGAGTTATTGTGTGTTTCCATCTAAATTTAGTGATGCATTGCCAATAGAGTACTTATTGGGTGGGATCGGTTAGGTCAAGTTTCTTGAATATTTTGATCTGTTTGTTTTAACTTGCTCTGTTTCTATTATCAGTTCTTTATGTTAATTTTAGACTACGGGCTTGGTCGATAATTTACTTAAAATGATACATTTTAATAATTAGTTTAATATAAATTGTAATAAGTTCATATATTTTATATTTTTATTTATTCATTTTCATAATAATTTCACCATTATAAAAAATAATTCCATAGAATCTCTGAACATTTTAAATTTATAATTTACGAGTTAAAAAAAATTATTTAATTACAATTTAAAATATAAATCTTATCACTAAACTTTACTATCTTTCATATTTTACTCATTAAATTTTAAAAATCTTCAATTTCCTCACTGAACTTAGGTCCCGTTTGATGTGTCTTTCTAAACGCAATTCAACTAGAAATCCCGTTTTGATCGTAAAATCAATGATAAACGGGCAAAAAAAATTACGGTGGAAACGAATTATAATTTTATCCTTACTAATGCATGGACTCCACTCAATTATATATTTATCTTTAATTTTAATAATTTAATGTTAACATCCTTAAAAATAATTTTTTACTTAATAATTTCTTTTAATTACTTAAAAGTAAATAAAATTCATGGTTTATATATTAAAATTAATTTTAATTTACAAGCACTAATGTATTTTTTTGTAATATTTTTTGTCAAAGCAAGTAAATAAATTATTATTTCGTAATAATTTTATATCTAATGTTCAAAAGGATTAATAATATTTTTCTTAATAAAATATTTATTTATAAAATATATTAATGAGTTATCTTAAAATATTTTTTATATTTTTATTATAATTTATATAATTCATATATCATAATGTTAATAGGTGTAAATATAATTTAAATTCTATATTTTAATTTATAAAATAATGTCTATAGAAATTTTATCTTTTCAAACTCACTTTTTAACAATAATTTCGAACAGTTAAATTTTTAAACTGCACTTTTTAAAAAATAATCTACCACACTTTTAAAAAGTCACTTTTCAAAAGACATGTCAAACTGGCTCTTAATACATTGAGTTATTTTCACTCCGCCGTTAAATAGTTAATTGCGTTAAAACAATATTGTTTGAAAATAATAAAATTTTCACCAAAACGACATCGTTTTGCATCTAAATGAAAACCTATTTAAAGCGTCGTTAGTGAAAAACGAATGAATGACCAAAAAACTTGATATATTAAGTTTAGTAAAAAAATTAAAAGAATTTAAAATAAAATAGAAGAAAGAGTAAATTTCGATTACCAACTTTGTAATTTAGCCTTTAAATAAATATCAAAATTTTGCTGTAATGAAATTAAAAGGTAACAGATGGAATTGGTAAGCATTGAATGTAATCCCAGTCGCCCAGAGCAACACGTGTCGTTCGGGACATTAAGATCCAGAAACTTCAATTTTTTCCTAGAAAATTCCTCAACAAACGGGAAAAATCCAGAGAAATCCCTTCAACGTATATATACCAATACCATCGTCGTCGTCAACAACATCATCACTTCACATTGAGAAATCACCAACAAAGCTAACCAAAGTTTCCAATTATCCGAATTCCCATAACCAGAAATGGCCATCGAAAGCCTCACCAGAGCCTTCATCTTCCTAATGGCAGCAACCATCCAAGTGAACGGTTTAATGCCCTACACAAGGTCACTATGGGACATGATGATCCCCGAAGACCCATTCCGAATCCTCGAACACACACCCCTCGCCGTCCCAAAACCCACCGAGCCAGTGGCTTTGGCTCGCGCCGACTGGAAAGAAACGCCGCGGTTCCACGTCATCTCCGTCGACATCCCGGGGATGAAGAAGGAAGATGTGAAGATCGAGGTGGAAGAGAACCGAGTGTTGAGGATCAGCGGCGAGAGAAAAGAGGAACAGGAAGCGGAAGGAGAGAAATGGCACAGAGCGGAGAGGACGAACGGGAAGTTCTGGAGGCAGTTCAGGATGCCCGGGAATGCCGACTTGGATCACATCAAGGCTCATTTGGAAGACGGGGTTTTGAAGATCACCGTGCCCAAGTTCGCCGAGGAGGTCAAGCGGCGATCTAAGGTTATAGACATCGGTTCGTCGGCTGGTTCCGGCGAGAATGTTGAGACCACCTCCAGGGCCGCTCAGTAGTGTGGATACCGTGTCTTCGTTTGTTCTGATGGGTTGATTGACAATACGTTCATGTTATCTTATGTTTGTTGATCCTCTTTAAAAAAAAATGTTTTTTTATCGTGAAGAGATGGTGATGGATGTTATGTTTTTGTATGTGATCTATAAATAAAATCATGATTTAAATATAAAATAAATATTTGAATTATATTTTTTTACGAATAAGTGTTAAAAATATTTTTTTGATTTATTTTGGTATTTAATATATTATTAGAATATTCTTTAACTAAGATAACTTATATATATAAGTGTAATTGCCTGGATTCAAAATTAATTAAAAATAATTATTTTTTATTATAATTTATCAAAATTAAATTTATTATCTGATTAATAAAAAAATTACACATGTAATTGGAAAAGAAATCCAAGTTGTCGAGATTTAATTTCAGTATCAACAATGCTCAAATATACATAATTATTTGTTTGGGACCTCGAATTAACCAAAGTAATCAAGAAGATCCATTATAAAAGTCAACTGAGTTTCTTTTATTTACTAATAAAAACACTAAAATTTCAGTTTATTTCGAAACAATCACCCAAAATATGCTCTAAAAACAATAGTTTCACACCACTAAAAGAATAAAAACACATGAATTGAGATATCAGATAGTGGCTTCTAGTGGTAGTACTTCAAAACAACAAATCCCGATGTCAACAGCACAAGTGATGATGTTGAAAAACTGCAAGAACGACCGGCAGCTGATGATTGGGGGTCGAGTGCAGGGCGGCCCCCTGTCGTGGCGGTCGGGGCTAAGGAACCGGCCGTCGAGGATGGCGGAGTTAAAGTCGGCACGGTGTCGGATTCTGGTGATTCGGCGGATCCGGTTGGTTCCGGGACAATGGAACCTGTTGGGGCTGAAGTTGGTGAAGCTCCTGGAGAAAGGGTGGGTGCAAATGAGCTCGGACCTGTCAATAATAATTTAATCAGCATTTTAATCGGAATAGTTCAGAGTATTAACATTTGTACTCACCAATGATATTTTAAAAGTAGGAGGACAAAAACAAAGCTTAGCAAATAATCGACAAATTTATGTTAAATTAAAGTACAAGGACTGAATCCAATGTTTTGGAATACTATAAGACCCACAATCATAATTTGACCCTAGCAAGATATGTTGGGCCAATCATACCTGGGGCAGGAACAGGTACACCGGCAGGGGCTGCAAAACAAGAAAATTCTCAAATAAGTATTTCCATTAGTCAAAATAGATAAAACGGCACTCAATCCAAAGAGATAGGATTAGGGATGGTAATGAATCAGGTTAAAGTCGAGCTTTTGGTAAATCCGACCCGACTTAAAACTATGCATCTTCCACCCAAATCTAAATTGACCCGAAAATTACATATCATTTATCTGACTCGACCCGATCAACTTGTTTCTTGTCCATCCCCACTCTACTCACATGTATTAACTCACGCATCTACGTATATATTATGGACAAAAACAATGTAAAATGCAATTTTTCATTTTTCCATGTATATATCTCACTTCTGCACTGAACGGGAACACCGGGCATGTTACAAGCTCGAGGAAGAGAAATATCCACAGTTCTATTGATCGGCAAACTGAACGGAACACTTCCGGTGAGAAGGAGGCACAAACAGTCCATGCCACCGGAAGTCAAATTCTTAAGAGAATCACAACATTCCGCCGACGGCGAAGAACCATTACCGCTGCTATTGGTAAGCAAGTTCATACATGGAGTGAAGCCGATGCCGAGCACCGACGGATTGCACGGCGTGTTGATACTCTGCGCACAAACGGGCGCCAACAACAATGCTGTCCAAGCAACGACCAGAAGCGGGACAAGCCGAGAACATGTCTTGTAGAGCTCCATTGCAGAGGGAATTCCGATGTTGGTGTTTTTTATTTATGTTGGAAATGGAGTTTGATGATTGGAAGACAAAGATGATGGGAATGTGAATTTATAGGTAAAGGTGACGAGGAGGGAAAGGGAAGGGTTTGGTTCTGAAGATCAACTACCTTTTAACTATATTATAATTTGAGTGAAGCAATGGAGAATTGCTTAGCCACGTTTGTGTAGAAGAAGCTTACTTTGACCTAAAACCTTATCAAATGTCAAAATCTTTATCAAATTTGAGGTTGATGAAGACAAAGTTCCTATGGGCTTTTTGCATGAAGTGAATAAAATTTAATAATCGACGGACTTAAAAAAAATAATACCTTATCATCGATGATCATTTTATAACTTTAAAACTTAGATGACTGAATAAAATAATACCCTATAATCGGGACCGTTATATACTTTACCCTTTAGTATTATCGTCAATTCCACCTAAGCCTCTATTCTTGAAGGAGTTGCCTTTCTCTTGTTACTCCAATTACTGTCATTTCATGTCTCAAGTGACAGCAAATTATGTTTATTTGTACTAGTCTATGTTATCACGTAAATGAGATAATAAGCTAATTATTAATATTATTAAGGTCTAATTCTGCCTTCAACCCCTATACTTTTTGGATATTTCAAATTTTAATCCCTTTGCTTTTAATTATACGAATTAAGCCTTTTTAATTGTCCGATTTAAATATTAAACTCCAACTTCAATTAAAGATGAGTAAGTTTTATCAATTTGATTTTAACTTTTTAGAATTATATCTTTGAATATTAAAATTTGGATAGTCAAGGTTAACGAAAGTCCATTACCAATGTTATGATTAGAATCTTACTTTAAATGTCTTCATAAAAAATGCCACGTCAGCTCTACCGTTAAGTTTTAACGGTGGAGTACTAAAATGAAACAAAAACAAAACTTTAGGTATGATTTTATAAAATTTGAAAGTTTCTTCGGATGATCAGAAGATAATATTTGTTCAAAATTCTTCATAGTCATTAATAATGCACACACACTCTATATACACAGATACTCGAACCCATAATTTTTAAGGAGAACCATAATATATTTTATCAGTAAGATCGCTTAATAAGTTATATAACTCCGATCAAGATAAAGGATTTATTATTTAATAATCAAATTCAATTATTTAATAGAAGTTAATTCGATTAATTAATTTACGATTAAACTTTTTTTAAAAATAATTATCGATCAAATTATTCCTAGTAACCTATATTAATTTAAGTAGTTCGATTTAACCAATTAATTCCAATTTAAATGAAGTTTGAACAGACCTAAACTCGATTCATCTAATGCTTTCATTATGTCAAGTCTCTGTTAAAATCAACACTTTAAACAAGCCTCCATGAAATTATATATATATATATATATATATATATATATATATATATATATATATATATATATATATATGCTTTCTTCATAGTTGAATCCATGCATCTTTGCATCAAATTTTCATTATATATATATATATACATATATACATGTATATGTGTATATATAGGTTGGTCACCTATATAAGATCTTCCACCGTTGAACAGTTCAAAGGTAAACACCTCTAGTTGGTCACCTACAACAGCCGTCGTTGCATAGTCTCCCCCTATAAAAGCCTCACAATCTGCAGGAATTCTCAGACAATACCGTATAACGAGACAAAAAAAAAACGGCGAACCGGAAGATGGCAACGGCGCCATATCTCGTTCTGGTTCTAGTAGGTATGCTTTGTGCAGGGGCCACGGCTCAGTCTGCTTGCACTAGTGTATTGATCAGCCTATCCCCCTGTTTGAATTACATCACGGGGACCTCATCGACCCCGTCTCAACAGTGCTGCACGCAGCTCGCTAGCATCGTGCGTTCCTCGCCGCAATGCCTGTGTCAGGTCCTTAACGGTGGCGCTTCATCGCTCGGGATCACCGTCAACCAGACTCAAGCTTTGGCCTTACCCGGCGCGTGCAATGTTCGGACTCCGCCCGTCAGCCTCTGTAATGGTAAGTATGCAATTACATGTGTGCATTTTCGTTGTACCAATACAAGAATAATAGTACTGATCAATACATTGCCTGCATGTTATCAGCTGCTTCTCCGGTAGATGCTCCGGTAGGATCACCGGAATCCGGGACAACTATACCAACAGGTATAAAACGATAGTTATCCGAATTACTCCCTTGCACAGGCATCTAGTTCACCTTGAACTCAAAAACGTTAACAATGGATGCAGGAGATGGATCTAAAAGCGTACCGTCGGCACAGGAGGACGGCTCATCGGACGGAAGCACCGCCAAATTGTCGATCGCGTCGTTCATCTTCCTTCTTTTGGCTACATCATATAGTTCGATCTTCTTGTCACACTGAGAATGTTCTCTAGTTTTGCCCTACCTCTCGTGATACTTGTTAGCATATATTATACATACAATACAATACACACACACACATATATATATATATATATATATATATATATGAATTACTTGTGGTTACTTGTTGAATATGATGTGATTTTGATTTTGAACTGTTCAACGGTAGAATTTTATTTTTTATTTGTTCGGATTTGAGTGTATTCGAATATATAATCTATTTAAATATTTAAAATAAATTAAAATGCTAAAAAAAAAATTTGATTATATTTTTCAATAAATAAGACATATCCTCAATAAATAGTAATTGAGGCATGTCCCATATGACTATGGGAACCTTACAATATGCCCATATTGGGCAGCAACAGAAGGATGAACTGAAGTAGAATTTTGAAGATAACAGCACCCTGGGTAGCTTTTGTTTTACATGCACCTGCACCCATTTGAATCAATGCTATAAATGACCCGAATCAAAGATATCTTGAATTCAAATATGTTTAAACATGTTCAAACACACGAAGAACATACGATGAGTCGAATCGAAAATATCTTGAATTCTTTTTTTTAAACAAAATATCGATATCTTATCGTACGCGTATTATGTGTAACACTCGCACCTGATGGTGGTGATTTAGGGGGTGGGGTATCATGCGATTCGTGTTCAGGAGGAGGAGGAGAAGGAGGAGGAGAGGATACTGAAGCTTCAGCAGGTCCTTTAGCAGCAGCAACTACACAAAATCAGATATCACAATCATTACGAACACTAATATAAGTACAAATTTAATGAAATTGAACAAATTGGTCCTTTTTTTTTTACTTTTGCACTCGCTAGGAGCTGTCACATTGCAAAGTTCAGGGAGTGCTAGAGCTTGTGTCCGGTTTATCTTCGGCATTCCCGGTGGACCATCCCCACTGATCACCAGGCAAAGGCAACTCGGTTGCGTGCCGACGACATGAGCTAATTTCGAGCAGCATGCAGCCGTCGGGGTCGAGGAGTTTCCGGTCACGAAATCAGCGCATGGAGCCATCGTTATCAGCACACTGTTGCAGTCCGATTCGGCCAATGTTCGACCCCATAGCACGGTTACTGTCACCATCGCGATCGCAAGACCCGGCTCTAAGATTCTATGGTACATGGAGACTGGTTTATGAGGATTGTAGGGTACAAGAGGGACTGTTTCGTACAAGATGAATTAGAAATGGGATTATTGGGAAGTGATTTTGGAATTAGAAGGCTTAAACTAAAACATACAATCAGAGATTAGCTTTGTAATTGAAGCAATTAAAGGCTTATCGGCAAACTCGCCCAAGTGTTTGGGGCCATTGTTTATCGGCAAGAAAATATGTCAAGATTGGAACTTGGTCAAATTTGTACAAAAAATTTAAATCCATAATGGTAAAGGAAGTCTTCAATATTTATAATTTAAAAAAAAAATTCCTTGATTTTTCCCTTTTATAATTTAAGTTATAATATTTTTTTTTTTTAAAAAATTATTTTTGAATGATCAACTAATTGTTAACATTTTTACTAGCATGATAATGCTAAGGACACAATTAAAAAAATAAATATTGAGGGGGGTTTTGCTATTAGGGTTTTTACTCTTTACTTATAATTTTATTTTAAATGTGTAAAATTATTTTATGATATTATTTGTTTTTATAAAATAACATTATTTGAATGATTAAAAAATATAAGAAGTATACCAACAACCAGTTTGTTTAGTGGGACAATACACTAGATCTTTTAAGAGGTCAGGGATTCGAATCATGGCGATTGTGAATGTAGCAAATTGTGTTGGGAGGGTCGCTCTTATCTCTGTAGTATCCAATCTGGATTAGTCGATCAATAGATCGAAAATCAGTAGTTATACCAAAAAAATATAAATAAAATAAAAATTCAACTAAAAGAAATATGATATTGTAAATAAGAAAATTATAAATAATATTCCAATATTCTTTGAAACTCATTTATCTTGATAATATATATATATATATATATCAATTTAGGGTATTTACAATTGGTAATATATATTCTAAATACTTTCAACGATTTGACAATGAACGCCTAAATACCCTTCAATTTTAGTGTTCGAACCTAAAATCTCTAGGAATAACTATCAATCCTTTAACCACGAAGATAACTTGACATTATTAATTTATAATTGATTAGCTTGTAATTAATTATGTGAGTTTAAAACTGATAAATTTAAAATTTGTTACACTAAAGATGTTAATAAAAAAACATTTCATATAAAAAAATTATCCTATAGATGATCATAAGTGATATCTGTACATAGATCTACTAATCTTGCGTCCAATTACTAATGACTGATTGTGATTGTTTTATTTAAAGTAATCAAGAATGAAAAAGAAATTATAACAAAAAAGCCCTCAATATTTTCTTTTTTTTCAATTGCGCCCAACCGTTGTCATGGACACTAGCATATTCCACACGAGCTTACTCAGGCCACAACTCGTCTTAAAATGCAAAGCCGTCGAGTGTACGTGGTCAGGAAGGAAAGGAACTTGAATTATAATTTTGAAGCTGCAACTTAATTTGCAATGCATCACAAGAATAATATATAAAGATATCCCCTACTGTCATAAAATGCTTATCAAGATTCTTGAGTTCTTGAAAAGAAGTCCAAAATACATCCGGGATGGAGAGCATAGCACGCGAACATCGGACACGTACATGTTAATGTTACCTAGAAGCTGCTCGATTTACGAATGCGATCTCCCCCGCACAAATTCTTCTAGTCTGTCCCAGACCTCCAGGGCTGCAGCCCTATCTTGGTGTCTCTTGTTCTTGCTAATCTGCACATTGAGATAAAACAGCAAACATGATATGACAGGAAAATAACTAAGTTCCACCAATAGTACGGCAGGCTGGGGGGATCTCTTAGACTCTTACCGATATAATCTTCACATTCCATTGCTTCACAATCTTGCAAGATTCTACGCTGTCGTCTTCAAACCGCATGAAAAACCCAATAACTGCATAAAATTCAAGATGAGCATTTAGTAATCAAGAACACGAAACCAAAGGATTTATGCTAATCTACAATGCGAAGGCAACCTTAAATCTCGACAGGTGAAAAACAACATGCAAAAAACTATCATGTATTCTAACTCCATAACTGCACAAACTCACCATATGCATAGTTTATAATGATCACCATACATATTAGACGAAATTCACAGCAGAGTCGAGTTCTACACGACACTTAAAACGGCCAGCACTAAGATAATAGAAACACAAACAACAGTCCAGTTAAACCTAGAAAAAATCCCACTTACTCTTATTAAAAATCTCCACATGATCTTTGAAAGGCCAATCCTTGAACTGCCACTCTTTCCCCAACACGAATACCGCCACCACGCGATCCCAATCTTCTGGCTTCAAAGCAGAAGGCTTATCTCTAACTTCATAAGCCGTCACGACCCTATCTCTGTCCCTACTAAACTTCTTCTGCACCGTAACACACTCCGGTCTCGCCCCTTTCATCTGCTTCACCTTCACATCTGTGGGCACAAAAATCCCATCTTCCAAAAACTCCTTCACATTATAAATAGTAATCAAAGTCTGGAAAGCACTCGGCACTAGAATAATCGGCACTCCTTCCCCAAGTTTGCTTCCTTTCAAATGCATTTTCGGTTTCGAATCATATCCCATCATATCATCCCCATAACTTAACCCCAACCCCCCCTCTTCAGCACCCATTAACCTACTCTTAGCAACTAACCCATCTTTCCTTTGCTGAGACTCAAGTCTCTGCCTTTCTTCTTCCCTTTTGGTAGCAGCAACAAGAACACTATAAAAATCCTTATTCTTACATTCCAAAATCCCTTCCCTATCCTTCAAGGGTTTCTCGATCGATCGAATTATTCCCATGTAATCAGCAATTTCAATATCTTTATCCTTAACACTAAAATGGGTATCTCCTACATCATCCAAAACAACATCGTTGGTGTTATTACCTTTGGGTTTGGCGCTATCCGGATCGAACCCAGATGGGTCGGGTCGAAACTCGTCGGGGAACTTGGGTGGGTTCCAAACGATTGAATCGGAGGTGGAGACTTTACCGGTTAAGTAATCGAGGAGGGGTTTCCGGTCGGTGAAGGTGACGGCGGGGATGCGGAGCGCAAGAGAGTTGTGCATGTAATCGGTGTGCTTGAGATGGTGGTTTTGGATGTAGAAAACCAGGGTCTCGAGGTTGTAGAGATTCCCTTGCTTGGAACGGTAGGCGGTCTCGGCGGAGCAGGGAAAGGAATACTCGGTGCCGAATCGGAACTCGTCGTTGACTCGCACGATTTTGTCGACTTCGCCCCGGATTGTGAAGTAGCGGAGGGCGGAAAGAGGGTCCATTCGCTTTGGTTTGCAAAAAAACCGAAAAAAAGAGAGGGAAATTCTTACAGGGACGATGGGTTTAGCAACAGAGATTTGTGTTGTTGAATTGGATTTTGGTAGTGATCGATTTGTAGCTTATGATCGTCGCTAAAGTTCTGAGCTATCTGGCCGCGTATTTTTCCTTCTCTTTTCTTTTTCTCTATCGGATCTTGGCCCTCAACCATTATTTTGCCTAATGACACTTTAGCCCTCAAACGTATTTCAAATAGCCATTTTAGTCCTTAATATATTATTAATATTTAGGATAAACTATGCACTTAGTATGTAAACTGTCAGTTTTGATCTATTCTAGTACCTGAACTTTCAATTTTTCAAAATCATACAAAACATTTAGTTTTCATTTTAGTACCCGTCGTTAAAAACTTAACATGTTTAGTACCTAAATTATCATTTTTAGTCTATTTTAGTATCTAAATTTTTAAATTTTTCAAAATTTAACGTTAACTTTTGAACGGGGAACTATAATTAAACAAAAACTAAAGTTTTTAGCAGTGGATACTAAAATAAATAAAAAACTAAACTTTAGGTATGGTTTTAAAATAATAAAAGTTTAAGTACTAAAATAGACTAAAACTAATAATTTAGATACTAAATGTGTACTTTACCTTAAAATTTAACGAGAGTTTGATCTAATAAAATATAAAATTAAGAGAATATTGAGAAAAGAAAAAAGAAAAAAACCTTGAGAGTAGGAAGTTTAATTTATTTTATATTAACTAATAGTAGTAAACCTAATATAATTATATTTTTATTAAACAAGTTTAATTTATAATAGTATAAGTGTATAACTATAATTATAAATAGATATTAGGGATTAGTGTTATATATTAAATGAGTTCTTAAAATATTTTACTATCTATAGTTTGTTATTATCTTTTAGGTAAACTATGAATTTAGAACTTACATTATCAATTTTAGTATGTTTTAGTATCTAAATTTTTAATATTTTTAAAAATCATACATAATGTTTTATTTTATTTCATTTTAGTACCCAACCGTTAAAAACTTAAAGCGTTTAGTAAATTAGTAGCTAAACTATCTGTTTTAGTGCGTTTCAATACCTAAAACTTTAATTTTTAAAAAAAAATTAACGTTAGATCTTGAACGGAGGTACTAAAATGAAACAAAAGCTAAAGTTTTTAACAGTATGATACTAAAATGAAACAATAACTAAACTTTATGTATAGTTATGAAAAAATTAAAAGTTTAAATACTAAAACAAACCGAAATTGATAGTTTATATACTAAACGTATAATTTACCTTATATTTTAAATTACACATATATACACACGTGTATTAGAATTCACTCACCTCTAGTATACAACTTTTAATTTTATTTTTTAAAATCGTCTAGTGAGTGAAAATAAACAATTTGAACTCTGAATATATATATTTTTAAAATATTTACTCATATTTTATTATTAATTATAATTATTTATATAAACTCGTTCAACTATCTTAAAAATATCTAAAATTAAAAAAATTATGTACCATGTGAATGAATCATGTCTAGCATGGCATTCAATTTACTTACACTATTCAAGAACATATGGGCCATAAGCCTGTAATTTTACAAACAGTAACCAAGAAAGCAAGGCTAATTTGCCTCAATATTTAGGGATGGGTACGGACCTGAACCTGACGGGCATAATCTGATCGAGTCGGATTTTTAAAAAAAAAAACAG